GTACCGTTCACATACTATCGAAGCTGTTTAGTTGAACGTTATGTCCATAATATACTTGAAGATTTGTCAATATTTTACAGTGCGGATGCTTTTATATGTATATATACAGACACCACAAAACAAAAACGGTGATAGAGACAACAACAAGATCTTGATACAGAATTCTCAAGATACATCAGACTTGAAACCGTAGTAAATCTTGATCAAGATCTTGATCAAGTTTTTCCAAGGACATCAAGTGCAGAGGTATCAATAAATCTTGATCAAGAATTTTCAAGAAAAAAAGTCTTTAAAGAACTTGTGCAGATTTTCTCTTTCTGCAAGACGTGGGTCTATCTTGACAGTATTATTGATAAACTACTAAACGTATCTGACTGAAAATAAGATGATAATTCAAGATCAATACTTTTAGAATCTTTTTGTCTTGCCTTATGAAACAGTATGTGCTTGAATTCGTTTCTTCTTTTGAAAAATATTATTTTTTCTTAGATTTATAAGATTTTTAATTTTAAAAACCTCGGGTTGTTGAAGGTTTTTCGGCATATTTCCACTAACTCAACAAGAAGGTAAACTTTTTCAAAACAAAGCCGATTACATCTAAGATACGATGTTGAGTACCTACGATAAAAATTTCGACTTAATCAGATGAAATTTCGATAGAACTGTAAGTTTGCAGATAAAGAGCTCTATTTCTTGTCGAAACCTCTAGAAAACCGAGAGACTTTGATTTCACGACGGGACTTTGGTCCATAGTCTTAGCTTGCAATTTTCAACATTTGATGAAAATTTAACCGTCCTACGTATTAAAGTGACTAATTCTCCCTAAAAAGAGAAGAGGTAGCCCTTACATATCGACAAAATCGAATTTTTTCGACTTTAATTTGATTCTAAATTATTTTTAAGATTATATTTGGAATCAAAATAACAAACTGCATCTAGCGATGTAGAATGTAACGAGGTTACAGGAAAACGTTTTCTCAACATTCTCATCCGAATGGGACATTTAGTCAACTAGCTGCAGTACAGAACTCATCTGAACTGAACGTCTTAAGAAAAAGTGAACTTTTGGACATTTGTTGGGAATGAGTCAAACTCTTTTCTTTCTCCAAAGAACATATAAAAATAAATGAAGATCTTACATTTCATTTAGTGTACTTAACATAATCCGAATGAGTAGTCTGACTATAAAATGAATATTTATCCGTCAATATTCTTTTAAAATGATGTTTATTATAAAAATAAAACATTATTTAAGAACATGCAATCTTTTTGGGTCTTATAATTTACCATCAACCATAATCGATCAGCATCATAAGTTAGAAAATGAATTAATCTCAACACGTCTTTATATTCTTTTATTAATCATTTCATTTTTCATTCTTGTTTTCTATTCATCATTAATACGAATAACACAAACAGTTATTGTTAATGAGCCATCAATTACCACATATACACAAATTTATAAACAATATTCACAAACATTGGTATGTCCATGTGATAGTATTTCTGTTTTATATAAAGACTTTATTCAAATACAGCCAGTTTATCATCAAATATGTTCATCGGATTTTATTAAAGATCAATGGATTTTTTATATTAATAATCATCCTATTGATACTGATCCTACGAATAGTGATAATGTAAATCCACGTGATTTTCGTTGGACTGGTGGTTCATCATTTCGAATGTTACAATATATATGTCAGACAATTAATTCAACAATTTTTAATTCTATATCTACATTTTATTCAACACAATATATAACATCAACCCTTATATCAAACGATTTATTTAATAAACAAATAAATGCAGAAATTAATTTATTTATATCAACTACAATATCAACATATGCACGATCATTACAATTAATACGTAGTACAACTCAAGCTAATGGTTTAATATCAGCATTACAAACAAATGCTTACTTTGTAAAACAAGATCCAAATTATTCTCAAACTACGGGTATTATAATAAAGTCACAGATATATAGTACTACTTCAGAGTTCAACATCTCGGATGCATGTTTCACTGCATCAGAATTTGTTATTGAATCAAGTATTTATGATTATTATGCCAATGTTTTATTTTCAATACCAAATTTCTATGTTGGCTGTTATATTTTAGAAGCTTTATTACAGTCTACATTAGAATGTTTTTATCAATATGAATGTTTTCATCAACTAGTCTTGTATATGAATTATGGATATCTCATAAATACAACGCTACTTGACTCATCTATTAATAGTAAATATCAAACAAATTCAATAGTTGCTGATCTTGTTAGTCAATTGATGGTTGAACAATGGAATCCAAATGTATCCTACGATCAGTATTATCAACAATGTCAACCAAAACAATGTACATATACATATGTACAACAATTTGTTCTTACTTACATTATAGCAACAATCTTAGGCATATTTGGTGGCTTAACAGCCGTCTTACGAATAATAATACCACCAACGGTAAAATTTATTAGAAAAAAGAAGACAACGACAACAACAGGTAAACAAAGTTATTCTCTTTCTTTTGGTTTGCGCTTAAGAAAGATTAGAAGTACATCGGAAATTTACTGAGGTCCGTTCAATTATTGATACAAAATTGGAATAACTTACACGTATCTTCTATTTCACTCATACTTAATCCATAGTTAAGCAGAAACTAGAAGAAACTTTCCAACAAGCTTCATCGAGTTTGAAAGATCGGAAAATGAAGCCATTGTTACGGTTGAGCTGGCGTTATATTCTTTTGGGTAACCACCCCCGCTTTTTTTCATAACTTTGTAGAGCGCGTCTAGCTGTATATACCCTGAAGTGTTTTCGATGAACAGACTTGTAATTGGTGAGAAAAGAATTTTTACGAATCGCATACGATTTTGATGCTCTATTTAAAATTTGAAAAACATGCTTTCCAGAACCAGAGCCCTCTAGAAGCACCATAAGCCCGTCTCATGTTGATCTTCATTCAGCACCCTCGATAACCTATAACCCACTACATTCCATGTCAAAAATGATTTATCACTTGCATATGTTCCTTCGTAAGCGGATTCATTTGAGTGGAGAATTTTTGAAATAATTAATGATAAAAAAATTTGAGCTTTACATTTACTTAAAAATTAACGTAAGTTGCATTAACAACAATAAGGAACAATAAGAGTTCCAGCTTTAATTTTGAATCTTTTATAAAATTTTAGAGAATCAAAATCGTACGAAATTTGTAAAATTTCTTTTCTCAGCAATTACAAGTCACTTCGTTGAAAGCACTGTAGGGTGTATACAGCTTGATGCGCTCTACAAAGTTATAAAAAAACGGACGCGGTTACTTCCGCCCACACTTAAGAATGGAAGAAGATACAGATCCATCTACATATTTCACCATACTATAGACGAAACTTAACAAAACAAGAATGAACTTTCTAACACAAACCGCTATTAAAAATCTTGGGACACACGTCAGATATCACTTCCATGTAGAGAAAACGCTGTGGTAAAAACTGCTCAGTTTTAAGACTTCTAGGAAAATGCCTGTAACTTTTTGATACAAGGTCAAATGAAGTTGTGCAAGGTCTTATTTTGATCAGAAACGTTTGCTCTTCAAATCTGTATGTTCACAAAAATTTTAAGTGCATAATTATCCAGGAAAAAACTATTATTTGAAGACCCAGTTTTTCGAGGCTTCTCGAAAACTTGCTCAAAGTCCCCGAAAAAACAAGTTTTATAACCAAAAACAATACAGATTCTGGAAGTAGACACTTCAGGCTATCTTTCCATGTGCGTATCTCAAAACCATTTCTTGACAGAAAATCGCCATTTCTGAGGAAGGGAGGGGTTCAAGGAAATAACACTTTTTCTGTTTCGAGAGAAAAACATTTCAGACAAAGAAATAATTTTTCTTCTGTACGGGATAAACTTTAAGTAACTACTTTAAACTTTAAGTCTAAAAACTGCATCGTCAGGAGATAAATAATAAAACAATCCAAAATTACACGAGAAAACTAAACATCGCTTAGGCCTGGCATTGAATTTCCTAGGAGTCCCAGAACTGGTATTTTCTCACCCATGGGAATCTCACAAATGACTCTGGACAGGGTTATCGACCACGCTGAGTCTTGTGGCACTCTCTGTTTAACGATTTAAGAACGTTTTTACATATGAACTTTCGGAACCCATACTGAGCCTAACTGTTATAACTACTGTACTATCTTAAAACTACTTCATTTTATTTCAAATCAGTATAATGTTACATAAACAAGAATAAAATGAAACTGTTATCTATCTGTGTCATATTTTATCATGAAATAAGCACCAGGACGTTGAGTGCAGGAAAAGCGCGAACGGAAAACATTTTTACTTTCTTAAGCAAAATCAGTGTTTTTCATTATTTATTCTTATCATCATATAGACATTTATTCTAAAACATGATACAAACCAGAGCTGATTTGCTTGGGAAAAGTGAAAATGTTTTCGGTTCGCGCTTTTCCGGCACTCAACGTCCTGGTGCTTATTTCATGATAAAATATGACACAGATAGATAACAGTTTCATTTTATTCTTGTTTATGTAACATTATACTGATTTGAAATAACATTATGAGAGAGCTGAAATTATACAAAATAAACTAAATTAGAATTGAAATTTTGACATGCTCCCTAATCAATGTAAAGAGTTACTGAATAAAAAATGCAGTCGNATAACAGTTTCAATTTATTCTTGTTTATGTAACATTATACTGATTTGAAATAAAGTGAAGTAATTTTAAGATAGTACAGTAGTTATAACAGTTAGGCTCAGTACGGGTTCCGAAAGTTCATATGTAAAAACGTTCTTAAATCGTTAAACAGAGAGTGCCACAAGACTCAGCGTGGTCGATAACCCCTGTCTAGAGTCATTTGTGAGGTTCCCATGGGTGTAAAAATACCAGTTCTGGGACTCCTAGGAAATTCAATGCCAGGCCTAAGCGATCAAAGATGAAAGTCTCGCTTGATTGCCATTTTGAAGAGGACACTTTGACTATCTATCCATGAAAAAAAATCAAACGATTTGTGTTTCAGATTTTTGAGCAATAACCTGGTTTTCCAAAGATTTCCTGGAAAACCTGCTTTAGGGAAAGATTTTGAAAATGACTTTCAGTGTGAAAAGATGCAGTTAAGTCCTAGCTTTCGATTAGTGAAGACCGCAAGCATCTGCCACTTTTCTATCAAACGTTATTCAAAAAACATCCGAGTCCACTGTTTTTTTTGCCGACAATAGAATCTTCCATTCTGACCACTTCATTTCATGATCTTTGTCACATGTGAGACTGGATATTGCAGATTTAGAATCGCATGACATATAGTTTGTTTGTTTCTCTATCAAATTATTTAGTTTTCTCGTGTAATTTTGGACCGTTTTAT